AGAGCAATAAACCCCATTAGGGGTAATGCTGGGCTGAAATGTGTCTTGTACTTAGGTTTGGCCCACAATCTAGGCCCAATAGTAATCCTGTAACATTAGGACCACTTGATACTCCAGTTTTGGGCCGTACCCAATAACATTCAATTGATTTGAAGTGCGCTTTTCCAGTGCTCCCAAAAATCCCATTTGTTTCTTTTCTTTTCTTTTGGGTTTCTTTTTTTTTTTTTTTAAATTTGTCTAGCCCAGGTCAGGTAAAGGCAGGGCAGGCTGGTCTCATATTTTCTATTTTTTTTTCCATGAAAAGCCTTTTTATTTTCATTTGTAACTCATATGGATTTATTTTACAATGTATAATTTCTTCATCTTATATTGAATATACATGATACACACTCACACATTCATGCTATATACTTGGTTGGTTCAAGCGTCATGCACTCCATATTTTTCAAACACAATAAAAAGGTTACCCTATTTTTAGGAATCAACAATATTTAATTTTAATGGAGCGTTTAGATTAATGAAAATTTGAATTTAAATTTGTATTCAGTCTAAATTTTTTATTTAGATATACAAAAATTAAAAAAATTTAATTTTATTTAAATTCAAATCTATCTTTTATTACAATTATTTTATAATTTTAAATTCTCTCTATATTTCAATGATTTAAAATTATAATTACTTTAAATATCTTGTTTTTATCGTGTTTTCACTTACTGTTCTTATCGTGTGAGTGTGAAGATGGATCGTAATCAAGTGTAGATATAACCATATAGAGAACTGGGGAGATAGAGACAAGCAAGTCAGGGTTGTTATGTAGTGTAGGTGGAATGAGGTTACTAAAAGAGAATGGACAACCCAAAATAAAATGGGAAAGAGTGTGTGCGTGTACATTGAGGAGAAAGAGATTTTATATGTATTAATTTGGTTGTTATATTGTAAGTAACCCAAAGTCAAACAAAAAATTTAAAAAAATCGAGAAACGATAACTACTTTAGGAAGGGACCAGAAACTAGAGCGTTACTTAGCTCGAATATTTATTGTTCATTTACTTCCTTTTCAGGATTCTCGCAAAAAATAATATTCTTTTAATTTTATTCATAAATTATTTTCAATACATTTCATTAATATTAAAAATATTTTTAAAATTTATTAACTCTGTCTTAAAAATTAATAAATTTTTAACTTTATTTTTATTAAATATATATATTTTAATAATATATTTTTTCAACAACTAATGAAAGATAAAAAAAAATTTATGATAAACACTTAATAACATAATTTATAAAAAGAATTAAAATTTTGTTTCTTTTTTTGTTTTGTAAATAAGACTAGGTGGAGGTAATAACCATCTCTTATTCATTGAATGGAATGACAGGATTTTATAACAATGGTTGATGATTGATTATAAATGTTATTCCCTTTTGGTAGGGCTTATTATTTTATGATTTGTTTGATCGTAAAGTCCTAACAAGCTTCCACCTGTCATGACATCACTTATCACTACCTTCATATTTTAATTTAATTTTTTAAGTGCAAGTCACTTTAAGATTTGGCATTCGCACATGGATTGCTTTGTGACTGCTTTCTTTTTTTCTTGCACACTACTTTATCATATAATTGGGAATGCTCTTTATAAATAATAATCGCCTTCGAAACTTTCCCATGTTGTTTTTTTGGAACCTGAGCACAGGGGCCCTCCTTTCTTTTTAACTAATTTTCCCCTAACGAATTTGCTTAGTTTTGTTTCTAAATATACTCCTTTAATTCTAATTATTTTACTATAATAATTTTTGCGAATTATAGTGTAAGTCAAATGCCTCACCAGATGTTAATTTTAGGAACTTACATGAGTAGCATCATTAAGTTACAATCAATCAAATTATACTAAGTTATACTATTTATTTGTACATTTGAATAATGCGATTTATTTTTAGTGATCTGGATAGTTTTATGCTGAACTTTATTATTTTTTAAATGTAGTAATTTTTAGAGATAGAACGGCCGCTCTTTATTAAAAATGTTATTCTATATGCTAATGGAATACCGTTTATTGTAATTTTACGTAACGAACTTAATCATTTTGAATTATTCAATGATTTTTCATCACAAGACCATATTATATCAGAAAATAAATTTTCAAACCATATAACATTGTATCATCAATTATTACGGTCACTTGTATGACTCTAAGCCCTCGCACTATTTTTTAAAATGTTCGGCCGAAAAAACTAGGAAAAATAACATCAAAGAATCATTGTATAATATTTATATCACATAAAAATCAAATAATTTTATATTTTCATTGCAGCCCTCTAGTCCTTTTCACATATTAGTTTTATAAGTAAAAAGATTGAAATGCCCCTCATAGTTAAAGTAAAAAGAAAAAAAAAGAAACTCCTCCCATTGCTAGCCGTTGGATCACCACCAGCAACAAGGTTGTCGGAGCCCCTACTGCCGCTAGGGTCGCCGAAGCTTTGGTAACATTTTATTTTAAAATTGAGATTTTTAGGTGGCTAAGGATGGGTTTCATCCCATGACTCTTGGCCACCTAAAAAATTTAATGGCCACTAGGCCACCAAACCCTTTAATATATATATGTGGCAAAAAAGATTATAAGTAATAAACCAAGTATAAAATCACTTTCACGTAATAATCTAATGTGTGTTGTTAATTTTTGAATAAAATTTGTTATTTTATAAATGTCACTTATTAATCTAACATGAATAATTACAAATTGAGAGTTTCAAAACTTCACTCATTTTACTTGTTAAATGTCCCAATGTGTTGTTGTTAACTACAAATAGGTTATTGTCAAAATTAAATGGATACTCGTCAGTGAATGACTAACACATACAACTAAATCCTTCTTATCATTTTTTCTAACTTGTTAAAACCATAATAGATTCTTATTAATTTTAAATGAATTGTTATTATTTTATAAAATGTTACTTATTAATCTGACATGGATAATTACAAATTACAGGCTTCAAAACTTTACTTATTTTACTTGTTAAACGTTCCAATGTGTTGTTGTCAATTACAAGTAGGTTGTTGTCAAAATCAAAAGGATACTTGTCAATGAATGACTAACATGCATAATTAAACCCTTCCTATCATTTTTTCTATGTTAAAATCATAATAGATTATTGTTAATTTTAAATGAATTGTTGTTATTTTATAAACGTCACTTGTTAATTTGACATGGATAATTATAAATTGAAGGCTTTAAAACTTCACTCATTTTATTTGTTAAACGTCCCAATGTGTTGTTGTCAACTACGAATAGGTTATTGTCAAAATCAAACGGATACTCATCAGTGAATGACTAACATACACAACTAAACCCTTTCCATCATTTTTTCTAACTTGTTAAAATCATAATAGATTCTTGTTAATTTCAAATGAATTGTTGTTATTTTACAAATGTCACTTGTTAATCTGACATAGATAATTACGAACTGAGGGCTCAAAATTTCACTCATTTTCCTTGTTAAACATCCCAATGTGTTGTTGTCAACAACAAATTGGTTGTTGTCAAAATCAAACGGATACTCATCAATGAATGACTAGCACACATAATTAAACCTTTCCATCATTTTTTCTAACTTGTTAAAATCATAATAGATTCTTGTTAATTTCAAACGAATTGTTATTATTTTACAAATGTCACTTGTTAATCTGACATGGATAATTATAAATTGGGAGCTTCAAAACTTCACTCATTTTACTTATTAAATGTCTCAATGTATTGTTGTCAATTACGAATAAATTGTTGTCAAAATCAAATGGATACTTATCAGTGAATGACTAACACACACAACTAAACCCTTCTTATTATTTTTTCTAACTTGTTAAAACTATAATAGATTCTTGTTAATTTCAAATAAATTGTTATTATTTTACAAATATCACTTATTAATCTGACATGAATAATTATAAATTGAAAGTTTAAAATTTCACTTATTTTACTTGTTAAATGTTCTAATAATTGTTGTCAAAACCAAATGAATATTTGTTAGAAAAATCGATAGGAAAGGTCAGTATGTATTAGTTATTCACTGATAAGTATCCGTTTAATTTTGGTAATAACCTATTTGTGATTGACAACAATACATTGAGACATTTAACAAGTAAAATGAGTGAAGTTTTGAAGTCTTCAATTTATAATTGTTCATGTTAGATTAACAAGTGACATTCATAAAATAATAAATTTTGTTAAAAAATTAACAATACATATTAAATTATTACATAGAAGTAGTTTTGTGTTTGGTTTACTACTTATAATTTTTATATATATATATATATATATTAAATAGCCTGGTGGCCTAGTGCGCACCAAATTTTTTAAGTGGTCAAGGGTTATAGGATCAAACTCACCCATAGCCACTTAAAAACCTTAGTTTTGAAATAAAATTTTGTAGGGGACCAACCTCTAGTTACTTCGCCCGCAACAGGGGCTCTAGCGACCTTGCTACTGATGGAGATCCGATTGCTTGCTCCTGCGACGGTGGGGGTTTCTTTTTTTTTTTTAACTATGAGGAGTATTTTGGCGTTTTTGCCTATGAAATTAATATGTCAGAAGGACTAGAGAACTGCAATAAAAATATGAAATTATTTGATCCTTATATAATATAAATATTGTACAGTGATCTTGAATGCTATTTTTCAAAAAACTAACATATCCATCAAATAGAAAATGCACAGTCTGGTCATAAAAATGAATGTATTAGTTAATTGGTCATTACATAAAAGAAATCTAAACTTAGCCATTAAGCACATTGTTATTCTCTATTTTATATTCATTAATCTTATATAAATTATTTTATCTTTACTTTATTTTGAAGATAAACAAAATAGATTTTTCATGAAAATATTATCTTATCTGCGATCAATATTCAATTAAAAGAAATTAGAAAGAGTGCATGTTTTTTCCCTTCGGACATCACGTTCCTGTGCACCTTATCTTTGGTGAGCCTAACCTCTTTTTCTTTCCACTTTTGATCACCCTTTCTGAACTGCATTATGGTCATTGGCTCCAAACTCCAAACCCCAAACTCGAACCACAGAGTTGACCATTTGTGTCTTCCTCAAAATGCCCAAGGCTATTTCTGTCTTCGCAGTTGGATCTCACTGATTTTGACACAAAACTACTGATAATTTCTCTGCCCAGCTAAAAATATCTGCTTAGTCCTTCTCTCTCAGAAAGGTTTTGGATAAAATCGGGAAAGATAACTTCCAGGAGGGAAAGCTAGGAAAGGTGCGCAAAGATCTACAGGGAGCAAAACAGAATAAGAAGGGTTCACGATTCACGAGCTCATCATCAATCACTCATCGCTTTCTGCAACTCCAAAACTATATATTCAAGTGTTGGAAAATAAAATCTTAAGTACCCTTTCAGGTTGGTGAAGCTTCACGGGCTCAAAACCATCTTTTTGATCCCTTTCTTCACCCACTTCCAGCCCTTGTTCGTCTCATCTAATCCAGTGGTCTAGGTTCCACCGCGTCAAACTTCGCTGGCTTTTCGTTATTCGATCTGATTGAGGTTTTTGGGGTTCTTCCTTTCATCTGTTGAGATGATAATGTGAGAACCGAGCTTCTTAGAGATTTCTACATAAGGGGGGGTTTCCAGTGGAGGCACAAATGGATCGTTCGGCCATCACAGTTGGGCCAGGAATGGATATGCCGATCATGCATGACAGCGATCGATATGAACTCGTGCGCGATATTGGGTCTGGCAATTTTGGGGTCGCAAGGCTTATGAGGGACAAGCAGACGGAGGAACTCGTTGCTGTGAAGTATATTGAGAGAGGTGATAAGGTTAGTGTCCTTGTTATTTATTTCGTCTTTTCTATTTGGGGTTACCTGAAGTGGATGCCAGATATTTACTTATTTGGTAATTGAAAGAGTCGAAAATCTCCGGTGACGAATTACATCCTGATTAAAACCATATCGGTTTCGGGACTCATACATTCCGTTACCCGTTCCTTTTAAATAGAATTTGAGTCCCAGAGAACTGTCTGCGTTTTTTTTTTTGCCATAAGAAGTTAATTGTTTTTCTTTTTTCTACTTGTAACTGCAGTTTAATGATGTCTTGAATCTTTGGTTTGAGCATTAGTTAGCTCTTAAATTAATTTTTATTCTACTTATATTTATTGATATTCTTTTATTTCTTGGGGTTTGTATTGTGCCTGCTGTATGCATGTAGTAGCTTCTTAATGGATGGCTTAGAAATATGAGCAGTATCCTTGGTTACTAACACATGATGGAAAAATGAAACGTTGTCCTGAAATATTCTCTGTACGCCGTATCTTCCCCATGGTTCCTCATTGCTTGAAGTTATTCAACTCATTGGACTTAATGTACTAAGCTGTGGACTTCCTAATTTTTGGTACAGTTGCACTCTAACAGATATTATGTTGCTTTGGTGATGATCAGTAATCTTACTTGTTTCTTAACAGATAGATGAAAATGTACAAAGGGAAATTATAAATCACCGGTCACTGAGGCATCCTAACATTGTCAGGTTTAGGGAGGTCTGTACAACCCATTGTCAATCATATCTCTTCCTATCATGGAAGTATTTGCTAGCTTACTTGTCCTTTTGACTGTAGGTCATATTGACCCCATCACATTTAGCTATTGTAATGGAATATGCTTCTGGAGGGGAGCTATTTGAACGAATATGCAATGCAGGGCGGTTCAGTGAGGACGAGGTTCTTTTCCATTAAACCAGTGTGTTTGTTCTGTGATGTGTCAGTCACCTTTAATGTGGATTGTGTGGTGTTGCAGGCGCGGTTCTTCTTCCAACAGCTTATATCAGGGGTTAGCTATTGTCATGCAATGGTATGCAAGATTAAGTAGCACATTTAGGGGGCATTTAGTACATTGGCATGTATCCTAGATGTACACCGTATGCCAAATGCCTCCTCTTTCTTTGCTCGACTAATTTTTTTTTCTTTCTTTCTTTTGGGCTGCCCAGAAGACCTAGTGAGATCTTTGAATTGATTTTCACTGTTCTGTCTTTTTCACTTTAAAGCAAGTATGCCATCGTGACTTGAAGTTGGAGAACACATTGCTAGATGGAAGTCCAGCTCCACGTTTGAAGATTTGTGATTTTGGATACTCAAAGGTATACTTTCTTCTTCAAATTTCTTATGTGGAGCAACAGCTATAAACCTGATATTTCAGATTGTTGCACTCAAACTGGGAAAAGAGCATTATCTAGAAAGTTTAATTAAAAGTAGCTTTTCTTGTAGACCAAAATATTCTCTTTCTATCTCCCTTGTCTTTGGTGTATCAAGTTGTAATCTCCTTGGATCTTGTACCATGGTTTACTCTTGCAGTCGTCGGTGCTCCATTCACAACCAAAATCTACCGTTGGTACTCCTGCGTACATTGCTCCTGAAGTGTTGCTGAAGAAGGAATATGATGGCAAGGTATATGTAACTTCTATCACCAGGAGACAACTCATCTGACTAGCGACTCTAAGCATTTCCGCTTAGGATGCGCTCCTTTTTTTATTTTATAATACAGAATTTACTGTTTCTGTTTTTTATTGGAAGTAGTTATGTGTGACTACAACCACCCATGAATTAGTTCCTTGGCTTCTATGATCGGGTGGGAAAAAAGAAAGGACAAGTTAAGCAATTTTCTGGGGTCTAATTCATTCTTTTGATTGTTTACTGTCAAGTTTCTTGTCTTCCCCACTCTAATTTTAATGTTCCCCAATGATAAGATCTTTTGTGTTTGTTGGTGTTGGGAAGAGAGGGACGGTTAGAGAATCACAGAGGTTTGCCTAATTCTTTTTCCCATTTGGAAGTTCTGAACTATGCGTTAGCTTTCATTTATGGTTAGAAGCAAAGTCTTAAAGGCTTGTGGGCAATACCATGCCTGATCCTGTACTCATAGATACATGAAAATTTAGATTAGATGGTGATGCACAAGCATCTCATTCAGGATAGTTTTCATTTGTTACTTTATGTAATAGATACATTGTACTGATGATATTGTTGCTTAAATGACTCAGATTGCAGACGTGTGGTCTTGTGGGGTAACTTTATATGTCATGTTGGTTGGTGCATATCCTTTTGAGGACCCTGATGAACCAAAAAACTTCCGCAAGACAATACATGTAATTCATCACTTTCTTTTTCGCTCACTGGTAACTTGATGGAGATAGTATGCCTAATCTGTTTGGATATTTCTTGCAGAGGATTTTGAATGTCCAGTACTCAATTCCTGACTATGTTCATATATCGCCTGAGTGTTGTCATCTGATATCAAGGATCTTTGTTGCTGACCCTTCACAGGTTAATATATTTTAGTTGTTTAAATATATATGTCTTGAGTATGTACTTGACTTCTTCGAAAAGAATTGGATTTTTAATTATAGTCTTGTCCAATTGTGCTACATGATTTGTCTTTTTAAGAGATGAAGGCTTTGATCATCTCATTAGAAATTTACATCAATTTAAAACAGAGGATAACCATGCCTGATATTAGAAACCATGAGTGGTTTCTAAAGAATCTTCCAGCTGATCTCATGGACGAGGGGACAATGAACAATCAGTTTGAAGAGCCTGATCAACCGATGCAGAGCATTGAAGAAATCATGCAGATAATTTCTGAGGCTACAATTCCAGCAGCTGGCACTCAGTCTCTCAACCAGTATCTTACAGGTAGCTTGGATATCGATGATGACATGGACGAGGACCAGGAGACAGATCCTGACCTTGATATCGAGAGCAGTGGAGAGATAATCTATGCTATGTAACTGTATAGCTGCCAGGGGACAAATCAGGCTTGTTTTCTTCGATTAAGTTGAATATTATAAGCTGGGTTGTTGATAGGTTGCAGGAGATGTGGAAAAAAGCTTTAAATCTCAAGAGTGAAGGATTCTGTGATTGGATTTTTCTTATGCATTGAGAGTCCATCCTGCTTGTATGTTATTGTCTGATCTTTCCTGCTCATGTGGTGGTGCTTTTTATTGATATGTGTTGTATTATACTATTACATTATGAATTGATGTTCCTTGTCTTCCCATCTGTTTTCCTTGATAAGCTCAATTCTTGGTCAAATTGCATACATGAATCTATTTAGGATCAGTTCGGTTGAAATTTGGAGGCTTTTGCATTTCATGATGCATAGCAACATGCAAGGATGCACGCAAGGCTTTCTTCTTCTCTAAAGGAAGGAATGAGATGTTTTAGTTTTATTTGTTTTATAAAATGGTTTGACAAAGGAGATTAATGAGAATATTTTCTCCAACACTAGCGTCAATTTGTTTACCTCTTTACAAGTGTGAATGAGTTTACTTTTTGGACTTTCTAATATACATTTATGAATAGTAAGTTGCATCTCAGAAGTTTGACTACTATTATATATGATGAATATATACAGTTTATTCCTTGATATTCGTTTTTTGTGTGTCAAACCTTGATATTCATATAAGAAATAACACTCGATACTTTTTTTAATAGTGGATTACTCATTTTACATGTTTATAGTTTTTTAAAATAAATAAATTTTGCTAAGGAGCAAATCACGAACTAAAGATGAAGGTATCCCCATTCCCCACTACCACTAACCTAGAGCAATTATCACATCCTCCCATAATGCAACCTTACTTGTGCTTTGTCCAAAACATGGTACACTGTGGAGAGAATATATATATATGGGAAGAGAGAATTTATGTGCGCTGAAAAAGTTAAGAAAATAATTATTTTATTTTATTTGGAATATTCTTATTGGTGTGGATGACATAGTACTTCGAGAGTGCAATTTTTTTTTTTTTTTGGTGCTTACGCATTCAGTATCCTAGGCAGATCATTTTTGAAGTACAACAACGGTCAAAACTAACTCGGATTCGCTCATAGTCAGGCACTTCAAAGGGTGGGAGAGGTGGCCAAAGGATATTTTTTTCATACCCAAACAGGGATCGAACCCCTGATACTTGATTAAGGGAGAATGAGCCCTTACTACTTAATCACATGCCCTTGGTTATAGAGTATTAATTTTTCTTGACTCAACTAAGATGTGATATACAAAATCATATAATATCTTTTTGTTCAGATTATAATATTATATGTTATTTTAGATAACGCCGTAATAATTAATATTTTTATGTCATATTTTCCTATCTATAACTAAATCACCAATTGCCAATCATTTCTGACAGAATTCTTTTAATAGCTTTGGCTTTTAAGGGAGATTATAAGTATTTTCGCTTATGGGTAATGCTACGCTTGAAATTTCAAATTAGCAAGTGTCAATTAATTTGCTGTATTAAGTTCGTTCAAGGACAAGTAAAGTACATTGCAATTAAAATTCAATCTTGCCTTGATTATCAAGAATACTTGAAATCAGTTCAGAATCTGATGACTTGTGGGGTAGAGTTTAGAAGGGGCTGTTTGATAGTGAAGATGAGTCATATACATGCAGAGAATGAAAGCTCAATGGTGACTGAATCTGGTCATCAAAACTAAAAGGAACATTCATAAAAAGAGAAAAGAAATAATCTTAAAAATTCCTATTGCATTACTAGAGCTAATTGATATTGGGAAAGGGAGGCATTAACTGGGGCAATTAATTTGTAGAAACCATATGCTGAAATCACAGTTGATAGTAAAAGATTTGGCAGTCTTGAAATGAAAACCTCAAATGTTGTGAATAGATTTTCGAGTGGAAGAAAGGTGACCATTTAGAAAAGGTAGGATCAGACATTCTCAATTCTGAGCCTTGTTCAGTGCGCAAGAAAATGGACCAAAACTTGTAGGAGTTCTGATGTTAAATCCTTTGTGGGCTTTGACCTTGGAAAGGGATGACACATGATATGAGGCAGAAGTTGAGGCCGGTGTTTCTATTACCAGCCATCTTTCTGTTGAGATGCTTGCATTTAGTTTTGTTTGGGTTAAAATATGATACGTTGTTCAATAGGTTATAAAACTATTTGAGCTGAGTGACTGAAGAATCAGGCTCAATCTGAACAAAGGGGCTGACCTCGAGCTCAATAAAAAGCCACGATAGAGTGAATATGCCGAAATCTCGTCAGTTACAAATATTAGACCGTTGGCACATAAAAACATGATGCCAAGTGATTTCGGAATCCACAGGAGCAGTATCATCATGCCAAAATATCTCGATGAGACGGGATAAGTTGCCAAAAATGGAGAACACTAAGTAAAGACCGTGCTGTGAGTTTTGCAGGATCTCTTATTCTTCGGCAGAATGTTCTAGGTTTTAAGGGAGAAGCTACCATCACTCTGACATTATAAATAAATATGAAAACATTGAAGAAGGACAGTCAACACTCAACAAAAACTCACATTATGCATTCATAGCTTTTTAGGTTTAGCAGTTAGTTCTTACTTTCAACTTAAACTTGTAACATTTTTTCATTTCAAATAAAAATCAAAAACACTTATTCTATCAAGTTTTCTATATCTTTTACATTTAAGTGAACTGTAATAAAAAATCGGAACCCCTTTTATTATTAATTGAGACTCAACATTTTTGGCACGCCTGGATATTTGTTGTTCAAACACAAACAGCTTCTTTTCTTGGGTCAGTATTTTGTGTTTTGCTCATGGATATTTGTTTTCTAGGTGCTGTTTGTTTGATACCTTTGAATGAAATTCAGCGTGTTTTCTGGTTAAAGAAATTACATAGCAATTGAAAACCTTGAAGTAAAAAGAAGAAGAAGAAGAAGAAGAAGATTAATCGAGTCATGGGTCAAACATTTTAAAGAGACAAATTATTGTCTGGTTTTGGCATCTTCAGATTGCGGGCTGATTACGATTGCTGTCAGTGTCTTTGCTTCATTATGGGTCATGTCGGTGGTTCTCAAATCAAACCAAAGCTGTTTGTGCGTTGGCCTTTCAAATCCTACGGGATTCCTTTCACTGGGCTGATTACCGATTAGCGGTTTCCTGATAGTCAGTTCAGTCATCCTTCACTCACTGGACTTACCACCGTTTTCAATGGCCCGGTTTATGAACTCGTTACTTTCATAGCTATGATCTGCATCAGTAACATTACTTCATCTTCGACAACGGCGACTCAGTCAGCATCTGTGGATGTCATTTCTGTTCTGCACTTTGGTCTTTCCTCTGTTTGTCCGTTTTTGTTTTCCCCAGATCTGTTGATGTTTTCCATGTGCTGGAGCTGGACTGTTGTGGGGGCTTTCAGTGTTGGTACTAAAAGGCCATTTCATTGTAATCGTTTTGTTTTTCTTTTTCTTTTTCTACGCATGAATTGACTCAGTTTCCCACAAAAAAAAAAAAAAGATCTATTATTTTAGTTTTTTAAGTGTAAACTACTTGCAGATATTTAAAATTTTCACTCCTCTTTTATTTTTTAAAATATATGCATTTTCTTACCCTATTACTAAAAAAATGCGTTGCACTTATTTTCCTTGCAATACAAAGTAAGGAAAATTTTATCTGATTTTAATACAAATATTTGTAAAAATGTAAAAATATCTTACCCACACATGTTCATTATTTTGAGTTATCTTTTAGGTTGAACCTTATCATTAAATTTTAACAATAAAGATCCTAGCTGGCCTCGTATTTTCTTTCTTGAAAAATGACAAAATTGAAAATGTTCATTCATAGAAAGTTGAAAATGAGTGAATTCTGTTTACACACACATGTTATGAAAATAGAAATTGAGAGGGAGAAAGAATAGAGATAACCATAATGAAAGAATAAAAAAAATGAGAGAATTAAAAGTTTTTTTATTTTGATATGTAGAATAGAATTGATGTGCCTTCTACTTATAAACACAAATACACGCATATTGAAGGAAATGAAATAAATGAAAATAAAATATTCACACATACACGCATATTTAAACAATGGATTATATATTTATATATATTATAAATAAAAATATAAGAAAGAAAGAAGAAGCAACGAAATGTGTGTGTGTGTTACAATATATGCGCGTATTGGAAGTTAAGAACAACAACGAGAGGGGCGCGCGCGCGCGCAATGCTGGTAATCTTAGGTTATATAACCAGAAATAAGAAATTGAGATATAACTATAATAAATAAAATAAACAAATTAAGGTATGATAGTATGATTCTTGATTATAAAATAACAAAAAATTATAGAATAAATAAATAACTGAATTATATATTTTTAAAATTTCCTTTATGTTTTGTTATAGCTTCAAAATTTATTTTATATTTTGCGTGGATAATTTCATAATCTACTTTATAATTTATATGGATAACTTCAAAATTTATTTTATATTTTATATAAATAAACTGTGTATTCATTTTATGTTATACATGAATAATTTAAGAAAATAAATTGTGCGCGCGCGCGCAATGAATTAAGAATAAGGAATTTGATGTACGTAGGATAAATAAATAAATGTAGATATTTTTGGGATCTGCATTGTATTCTGTGGATATATAGTTTTAAAATTTACTTTAAATTTTGTGAATATCTTCAAAATTCACATTATATTCCACCTTATATTTCTATGTGCATATCTTCAAAATTTACTATATATTATATATGAATAATTTCATGATCCATCTCATGTTATATTAGGTAACTTTGGGATCTACTATTTTGAAATTGAACTGCGCCTCATACTTGTGAATGTGGCACACAATATTTAATTATTTGATTAATTGATGGAGGAAGAAAATAATGAAACAAAAAAAATCAATAAATAAATAACATATAAAATAATAAGAGCGCTTGATGATAGAGTCATATTGTTATATATTCAACTGAGTGTGCCTTCACTCTTATTAGAGATGTTCAGTAATATGAACATTAATATCTAATCCAATAATTATAAGCACACCCACCTAGTGATGTTAAGTATAAAGCAATCATATCGAGAATGTGTTCCAAAAATAGAGATTGAGAGTAGGGAAAGAGAGAAAGAGAAAATTATTATAAGAGAATTAAGAGTTTTTTCATTTCAATATGTGAAATATACCTTTTATTTATAAACACAAATATATCATATAAATAAAATAAAATATATAAAATAATAATAGTTGAAAGATATTATGA